AAAGACATGTTTGTGGGTAAACAGCTATTGAAATCTCAAGAACCAGAAAGGATGATGAGTTTGGTATATTTTCCTGCCCAAAAGGCTTTGTGCACCCAGAGTTAAAGGAGAAAGCAGCTTGGTAATTGAAACAGGATCTTTATTTCTGAACACGAGCTATCTCCAGTGTTATACAATAATACATTTGAAACTGCTGTTGCTTCTTCTTCTTCTTCTTCTTCTTCTTCTTCTTCTTCTTCTTTACTTTCTTCTCACAACCTTCCTCCCTCTCTCCTCTCTTACCAGCATGATACACATAGCTCCTAACTGATGGTGTTTTTTTTAATTCCAACAAATTCTTGAATATTTTGCATACTTATTTTGTTGTTGTTCTGTGCCTTCAAGTCATGGCCAAACGGAGTTTTTAACCCTGGTCTCCCGAGGCGTTGTCCAATGGTCAAACCACTATATCACACTGGATCTTGTACACTTATTTATTCCACTCCAGATCCTTGCATTAGAAGAAATAATGCAAATGAGCCAGATTTGTATCATCTCTCCTACCATGTCCAATTTCTTCAGCAATACTCACTTGAGATGTAGTGCTAGAAAAGAGTGCTAAGGGTATCATGGACATCCAAAAGGACAAATAGATGGGTCCTAGAACAGATCAAGCCTGAACTCTCCCTGGAAGCCAAGATGGCTAAATTGAAGCTGTTGTACTTTGGCCATATCATGAGAAGGTATGATTCACTAGAAAATACAATAATGTTAGGCAAGGTAGAAGGTCAAAGGAAAAGAGGAAGACCACATACTGAATGAATAGACTAAATCAAGGAGATCATGGCCTGAGTGTGCAGGACCTGAACAGAGCATTTTGCAGTGTCTCAATCACAGGATCACCATGAATCGAAATCACCTTAAAGGCAGCTGACAACATCATTGGGGTTGGGGGGCTGTGAGTGGAAAAGTCTTAATGGCTGTTAGGAAATCTATAGATTATGTTTTGGCATGAAACTAATTGTTAGACAAATGCCTTTTGATAAGGAAACAAAGATGAGTTTCAGGCTCTGTGAGCTAACAGTATTTTTAGGTGCTGGCTGCCTTTTTTCTAGAGATAGAAATACTGAAGAACACAATGGACGCTACAAGAAAAAAGGGAGAGATATGTCTCCAAGTACTCTGTAGATGGTCTTTGTTTTTTATTTTAAAACAAGTCTAACATTTGTTTCAGCCTATGTATATATTTCAATGGCCTTCCTCAGGGGCAGTATATGAAACTAGCAGAAGAAATTTATTCTAGAGTTGGAAATCTCATTCCATTGTTGCTGGGTTTTTGTTGGTCTAACAAATGGAACGAGATTTTCAACTCCAGAAATTTCAGCTGCTAGTTTTATATATTGCCCCTGAAGAAGGGGGCTATCTCCCTCTTTTTTCTTTTTTTTTTCCTTGTGGATTGTGCCTTTTTCTAGAGACTGTAAAAGGAGGCAGTGGAATTTGGAGTGTATAAAGCAGTGTTTCCACCTATGCTTAAGATGTATGGATTTAAATATGTTGCAGAATGAGGTAACCTATTCTGCACCAGCACAGGTAGCAACAGAGAAGAGAATCACATTTTACATCCATGGCTTGTGCAGCTGTTTTGCTTGCCTTTCCCAGTAGGCTCAAGCAAAAGCAAACTGCTGCCCCCTCTCCTAGCTTCTCTCTTGTTCCTCATCAATAACTTTTGCCATCTTGACCAATTCTGGCAAGGAGACATTGAAAATGGTGTGATTAGCATGGTATAGACTATAGTGGGAAGCACAGGCCAAAGACCAAGCTGCTCTACCAAAGGCTTGGGCTTTTAATTTCATTGCAACTGCAGCTTCTGATTTACTGGATTATTGTAACTTTTATTCCCTACCAATTTAAAAACCAAATTATGAACAAGGGAAGTGATACTCTTCAGGTCATAATTGTTTTTATGCAACATACTGTCTGATAAAAGTGGGTGAGGGTCTTCAACAGTTATTCCTCCTTTTGCTCTGGATTTTCTCAATGGGGCAGGAGTGAAGGGGGGGAATATTCCAAAATAGTGGGGGGCAGGGCCACTACAAACCAGAAAAAGGGGTAAATCCCAATGGGATGAATAATAGTTTATGTACAAAAACAAGTATCCATAAATGTATTTATTTCTGTGCCTCTCTTTTCTTGAATGGAACGTTCCCACTCATTTAATGTCATCTTTTGCATTGTGGCTTTAAATCACAGGCACAGAAGATAATATTTTGCTGCTACAATTTTTAATTTTATTGATTAAAAAAAGCAGTATACGAAAATATATAGAAAAAAGAAACAAAACAAAAACAAGACAAAACATAAAACAAACAAAAAATACAAAACAAAGGAAATCAATAGGAAACAAACAAACTATAAAATACAAAATACACACAACATATATTTAACAAACATAAACATTTAAAAACACTTCCTAAACTTGGCTTTCTTGCAATTTAGCCTGAAATAATCTTACTTCCATAATGTTCATCAATTAACAATGTGCGTCATACATTTATATACCTTATCACTATTTATGTTCCATCATAAACTTTAAAATAAACATAACTTTATCCTCAATTTGGCGTATCATCGCAACTCTCATTTTCACTCTTATTAGATATTCATCTTCAATCCAAACCTATTACATTAACTAATACTCCTGATTGTTTCCAGTGATCGATCACACCCCACCAATCACTCCTAATTTTTTCTTCGTTTTCCCCCTTTGCTGCTACAAATTTTGTAAAATAATGCCAAAGGAAAGTAGAGCACTGAACAAACTGCATAGTCTTTATTACAGCTCAGAGGTCTATTTGTTGTTGTTCATAGAATCATAGAATCATAGAGTTGGAAGAGACCACAAGGGCCATCCAGTCCAACCCCTTGCCATGCAGGAACTCCCAATTAAAGCATCCCTGACAGATGGCCATCCAGCCTCTGTTTAAAGACCTCCAAAGAAGGAGACTCCACCACTCCCCAAGGGAGTGTGTTCCACTGTTGAACAGCTCTCACTGTCAGGAAGTGCCTCCTAATATTGAGGTGGAATCTTTTTTCCTGCAGTTTGCATCCATTGTTCCAGGTCCTGTTCTCTGGGACAGCAGAAAACAAGCTAGCACCCTCCTCAGTATGACATCCCTTCAAATATTTAAAGAGGGCTATCATATCACTTCTTAACTGTCTCTTCTCCAGGCTAAACATACCCAGTTCCCTAAGTCGTTCCTCATAGGGCATAGTTTCCAGACCCTTCACCATTTTGGTCGCCTTCCTCGGGACACGCTCCAGTTTTTCAACATCCATTTTGAATTGTGGTGCCCAGAACTGGACACACTATTCCAGGTGGGGCCTGACCAAAGCAGAATACAGTGGCACTATTACTTCCCTTGATCTAGATATTATACTTCTATTAATGCAGCCTAAAATTGCATTGGCCTTTTTAGCTGCAGCATCACACCGTTGACTCATGTTCAACTTGTTGTCCACTAGAACTCCTAGATCCCTTTCACACATATTCTCATCAAGCCAGATGTCCCCCATCTTATATCCATGCATTTCATTTTTTTGCCCTGAGTGCAGTATCTTACATTTCTCCGTGTTGAAATTCATTTTGTTAGCTT